AACATAGTTTTGATGAGCTGGTAAGACTGTAATGCAGCTTTAGTCAATGTATGAGCTAGGAATCAATCCAACAATCACGCAGAGGCCTGTCCTAGTATATACCCTGCAAAACTTTGGGCCCAACATAATATTCAAATTATTGGTTTGGAAATGTCAATAGAGTTCTATCATCTCATATTTTTTATTATGCAACCTTTATGACTGTATGAATGAAAGTGCCACATCGCCCCCAGCAGCAGGTGAGGTCTGCTTAGTACTCCTCACTCTCTATGCTCCTCTGTCTTCTCCCAGTTTTTTTCCAGCTGTTTCCAGATGGGACTCACCCCGCAGTGTATGAGTCACCCAGTCTGACACGCCCACCCCAGCCCCTGTGTCATACCTGAGCACCCCCAGACATGTTCGACTGTCTCCCGTGGGTGTCATAGGAGCGGTGAGTGTGTGCGCGGTGGCAAATCAAGTAGCACCTTCCTGTTTACTTTTACAACCACTCTTCCATAATTTAACTTGGATTAAGGCGTGCCCTCATTCTCCTTTGTAACTTTCCAGACAAAACAGTAATGGGGACTAGACAACACCTGAGGGCCAGAAGTAGTATATACTCTGAAATATGATATAAGGGGGGGTTGTCATGTCTGGCCCACAGGGAACAAAGGTGTGAGAGGTGTAATGGACCTTACATTATGCACTGCAAATTTCTCTGCTGTGGCCAAGATTTTTAAACTTATATCAGGTTATTCATCTTGTTTTCAGATTTATTGTCTACTTACTAGTCCTGAGTTGGTTGTATAATCTTAAAAAAGAAATGTCACATATATTTCTTCCAAGACTCAACTAGCCAGAAAAACTTAAATTTAGGCAATAAATATTTTAAAGAAGCTACCATAGTTGCCCATGCAACACTTAACTTGTTTATATATTCAGTAATGCAGAATACAGAATCATCTATAAACTTATTTCCAGTCCATGAACACTTAACGTGATTCATCAGCCTCACAGCATTAGAATTCGTTCGCTTGGCGGTAGGGGGGGGTACTTTTTTATTTAAAAAATCCCTGCTACTTGGTCGTGACATATGTAATGCACCAAATCCCGTAGGAAGAAGGGCAATAATGTCTTTTCCCTTGATAAAATTCACCAAACATTCTCTTTGTTATGGCTTTAAATCCTCGTTCTTGGGTATCGTTGCTTTTTCTACATTCATCTCGACCACTTTGTCTACTGTTGTGCTGTACCAAGACAGGTGCTTGAGGTTGACGTCATGGCTTCACAGCTTTTTGCTGATTGGCCAGCGCGCAGTCTACAACTTTGGGGGTTCTTGTAAACCATCTAGTGTATTCCGATTCCTGACCTAGTCGCTGGAGAGAAATGAAATTGAGCGGAGGCACTGGGTAGCGCCAGCCTGACTATAGAACACTTACAAGAGACTGCTTAATTCTAGTCTAGAAATAGTTTATTTTAAGATAACTTGTCAAGTCAAATTATCTTGCTGCATGGACAGATCATTTCACTACTTTTAAGTTATTTTTGATAGAATTAATTGCTTATATCTGAAATATTGGGCCAAGCTTTTTTGCAGAGTGCCTGTTATGTCTTATATTTATATATGTATTTATGAAAATTTGTAGCAAGAATGTATTCCAAGGCAAATTAATTTAAAGGTGCACTGTGTAACTTTTCTGATGTAGAGTCCGCCATCTGCTTGTCTCCACAGAAATGATTGTTTTGCTTTGGATGTTGCACAGTATGGCATATAGATTGTATCATTATTACCATTATATGTCTATTCATGGGTTTCAGAATGAATCTTAGGACCGTTGGCATGGTGATTAACAATTTAAACATTATATTTATACCATACGACATACAACAATTCACCCTTATGTAATAAATAATCACAATTTCATCTTTGAACTGTTTCTCTTCTTACAATTTATCGTATACAACTGCTTTATTTGACACCAGTCTTTTCCTGTTTTTGCTTCTTATTTTGAATTTATTGTTACCATTTATATTGTTTTTCTCTTTGTTATTATATTATTGTAATGTGTGAGCTACTGTGTCCAAGTAATTTCCCCTGTGGATCAATAAAGTTTGTCTTCTGAATGGGAAAAAATCCTCAAAATGGTGAAAATTACAAGATGCTGAAACCTATGAATACATCTCCTAAGTTGTTTTGAAACCTCAAGCCTCTGTTTAGCTATCAATCTAATGTGTTAGTACAAAAGTGTGTTCTTTCTGTAATGATTAGTCTGACACAATGATGAGAAGCTGTTTGTTTACTCTAATGGTCTGAACTGTGCGGGAGAGGGCCTGAGGTGAGCTGTGAAGCACTTATGTCATCAGCCCTGCTCCAAACACTGTGTTTGTGGAGACCTGGGCCAAATGGGGACACCTGTTTGTGAATACATCTATGAGATTTACACAGGCAGAGAATGGGAGATAATAGTTTTCTAATGCGCTGTTATTCATTATGTCATTATGTGTGCTTTTGTTGATGATGTGCTTAGAAAGTGTGGGTTTAAATAGGACTAGAAAAGCTTTTGTGTACTGCAGTTCAGTGAAACAGTTGCCTTACTGATGATACTTCGCGGTGGCATCATGCTGGGAGGGGGTTACGTGTATGTCTATGGAGGAATGTTCAGCGGTTACCATGGTGGCAATGCATACAGTAGTTTTAAGATTGTCTGAAAACTCAAGAAAATTTGATTTGAGCAACACATTCTCAAGATGAATACGTGCATTCATGGGCCTGTGTAGGTGTGTCATTTTCAACAAAATTGTGAGTGACTAACTTAAAAACTGTTAACTAGTGACTGTAATTGGATGTGTCAGAGACTTGTTTAACGATCGTGTCACCTTCCAGGCACAAATCATGTCACCTTCCAGTTCTAACCGTATGTCAGCTCTTTCTGGTCAGATTGCGTTAAATCAAAGCTCAAATTAAAGTGTAACAAAGCCTCAGACAGATCAGTGCCTCCAGTGTCGTTAACTCTAATTCCTTTAAGAAATATCCAAACTTATCCACAAATGTTGAACCTTATCATTTGTTAGTGATCTGGTCCAGCAACTTGTCATATAAATCTAGCCCAAAGTCTTTTCAACTAACAACAATTACACCTGTGGGCTTGAATAATGGCATTGCCTTCTGAAGCTATAACAGAGAAAAGGTTGTGGCGCTTTTTGTTTCATGTGTATAGTAGCCCCAGTAATTAGAGATTTTAATTATGAAGCAGGTCAACAAACCTGGAAATTCCACTACAGAAGTCTGATTTGTCCGCCAAGTTGATTCACTCAATATTTTGCTATGTTTTATATGGTCCCATTCCTTATAACATTAATTACAGACAATGTACTAACCCAATTTATTCAGATAAAGCTGGCTTTCATACCTGTATTTTAATTCTGATGTAGACAAATTTGTTTTAATATGGTGTTTTTTGCAAATGTGAACGCACCTAAAGTCTTTCTGAAGCTTTAATCCACACCTACTCTCTCCATACCTTCACCTATCCTTTCTATTTAGATTCACATTGAGTTGTTTTCTATTTGGGAGTTATATATAGTTGAAGGGCCTGCTCCGAGTGAATCCAAGTGAAGATGACGGCTGGACACAACTATTGACCAAATATGATCTCTGCTGACAGGCCGAGAACTGACCAGAAGAGAGAAGGGATAAAAATATTAAAAACAAGCCAGCATGAACCCAGCTCTAGTTCATGAGTCATGCTTTTTTTTTTTTTTTTTACTGTGCATAGGATGTTGTGTTAATGATAGGGTGCCGTCCACAAATGATCCTAAAATGAAAAGGAAGGGTGTGCTATCAGAGGAAATATGGTACAGTTCTGGAGGATGTTTGTGAGTATGAAAACAGGATATGTAAAAGAAGAGGAAATGGTGAAACTGCCAGAAATGATCAAGATATCATTAAAGAGAATGAGCTTTTTGTTTTATACACAGTATAAGAGTTCAATAGGGAAAACTTTGCTGGAATAATTAGAAGGTGGAGAAGGACCTCTACTGGTGGAGAGTAGAATTACATGCACTTTGCAATTAACTGATCAATCTCATCTTCATATATTATGGAGTAAAAAATATTAGTTTTTATTTATAATTATATGTATACCTAAAATATTGAAATCACTATACTACTAGTCTATCGATGGGTTTCAGAATGATGAAAGATTAGGACTTCGAATTACATATTTAAAACTAAATATTGTATTGTTTTCACCAATGTAAATGTCATATATAACAGGACAGGAAGCTGAAACCCATGAGTAGGTGAATAATACTTCCTGTTCCAGCAGAAGCTAAAGAGGTGAGATACGTGTTATGGTACTTTGTGCATTGGTAGTATCTCAGTACTCACATACATAAAATGCAATGTTAAAATGTATGGGGGGGAGGGGGAAAATAGACATGTTGTGACATTTGAGTGCAATAATCTTTATTACATAAACATTTAAAATAAACAGACACATACAGCAAAACAGGAATGTTTCAAACACACACTGTGCATGTTTCACTCACACTCAGATGATTAGAGACTTTTCCCAGAGAAAATGAAATGATAAATAAACCTGATGCCAGGCACCTGACTCACCACAAACATTCTTATCTTACACATGAGACATTTGTATGAAAACACAGTGTAAGTGTGTATGCCCCTGCCAAGGTGCTAAGAGCACTTAGAGCACAGATAATCTGACAGTGATCCTGCTCTCAGTGCTCTAATCTCATAATCCTGTTTGGACTACCCTGACCCTCACCCGGCAGGTGCACAGGCTGCAGACAGGTAAGTCATGCCCTCATGCAGCTCTTTGGTATGTCTTTATCACTATCACTGTTAACTGGTCTCACTGTAATAAGGCATGGGGCATTTTCACTTTTAAAGGAAATACATGAATGTGTTGAAAGCAGTGGGTCCCATGTCCACTCAGCAGCACTGGGCACACTCTCATGTGCACATCACAGGGTTCAGCCCTGATCTTCAGACGGTTCTAGTTGGTTTTGGTCACGGTCTTGGTCTTGAGCTCAGCCAGTTTACTGGTGACAAAGTTCCACTTAAAGGAGGCATCTTCACTGCCCCCAGCCCCTCCCCCCAGAGACACATATTTGGAGAAGCTGTTGGTCTTAGCTCCGCCCTCATCGCCCTGGTTTTCTGAGATGTGGCCGTCCTGGGCCTCTTGCCCCCCGGACTCCATCACCCCCTCCCCCTCCTGCGCTGATGCGGCCGCCTCATTGGCTGCTGCAGCCGCTGCGTCCGCCTGCTTCTTGGCAGCCCAGTTGGTGGCAAAACTGTCCCAGAATCCTGTGCGGCGTGAGGGTCGAGAGGGCTCCTCAGGCTTTACTGCCAATGGACTGTGAATGAGAAGAAATCACAGCTACTGAGCATGAACTGTTTCAGCAGGACATGTGCATGTGTGCATTGACTTTAAACTGTCCAATAAAGCTCCAGTATATTTGACATCATGAGACTGTGGTCACTCTTGACATTGAGGTGACTGCACTGAAAAGCATGCAGTGGTGCACTGATGTGACTTACTGGTCAGGGACAGGTGGACTCTCCGTCTCCTCCAGGAGCTGGTGCTCATCCTCTTTGTTGAATAAAGTGGACAGTTTGTTCCAGCTCTTAGCCCCAGCTCCCTGCATCTACACTCACACAGAGGTCAGAGGTCAGGGACATCACATAGTATACTGCCTTCAGTGTGTTAGATCATAGACACCGCAGTAGCAGCTGAATGTGTGAACAGAGCAGTAGCTCCTTGCTGACATACCTTTTTGGCTAACTGGGAGACAGCATTGGGGCCCTCGTCCTCTTGAACTGGATTCAGATCATTCTCCATTTCCACTTCTGAAACCTGCTCCGCCACACAAACACAGAGCACCATCTAGTGTTTTTTCTAGGCATGACTTTGTCTAAAAATGGTCATTTCTAACATGACCACATCACATCATAAATATGGACACTTTAGGAGGGTTTCTGCACCAGTCAGATGAGGTCATATTCATACAGTTTATGTAGTGCACATACACAAGGATGGCCATGGATAGCTCTTGTTCTCCACACACTGTTATATGTTCTTCCATAATCCTCATCCTCACCATAATACTTGTACACTTAGTATTCTACACATGCATGGAAAGTATCAGTACTCTCTCTAGTATTCCCTCAGAGCCTGCCCTGTGCTGCACTGGAGCCTATAGGCAGGTGCACTTCCCTGTCAGTCACTCAGAGGAATGCCAGCTAATCCACAGGATCAGGTATCAGGCCTGGAGATCTGGGTCATGAAACACTGTCTGTACGGGTGTCAATCACACAATGCAAAACAATGAATACACCAGGCATTTCATACAGATATACCAGGCATTTCATTCAAAACTGTGTCTATAACAGTGTGAGTCTGTGATGGGTCAAAGGACACATAAGCACCTCAACACTTTGGTAAAAGGTCTGTCCCGGACAAACTTGTGCTTTAAATTTCAAAGAGATGCAGAAGAGTTTACTAACTGTTTACCCACTAAAAATTACACATTGACTCAAACGGTTATTCTGACAAATGAAAACTAAAAAAGCCCTATAACATGAACCTGCAGGCTCCAGTGTGATGGGCTGACAGCTGTGATAGATCACTGCCTTCACAGATAGTGAAACCACATGATCACTGAGCTCCTCTGTCCTCAGAATGAATAAGACATGATCTGAACACTAAACCTAAACACTTAGTGTATTTTATAATACGCAGAAATGATGCACAAATCCTTACCTCCTCCGCAGTTTCCTCCTCATACTCGGGGTTAATGGTCTTGAGCACTTTGCTCTTGTAGGACTTCCACAAAGGGTTCATATTAGCACAGATGCCCTGTCAGTCTTCTGAAAAACCTGTGTAAACCTCCTGACGCAGTCACACTTCAGCGTATCTCAGGCCTGTCCTGGTTTGGTCCCATATGCTTCTCCTTTGCTGCTAAAGAGATCTTAGTAAAGAGAATTGCACCAGACACATGCTATTTCCCAGTGCTCTTTGTAAGCTAACTGTCCCCTGCTCACTCCACACTGTGTGACCAGGTGAGGCTGGGAGGCTGCACCTGCCCCGCTCCAAACAGCCAGCGTCACGCTCCACAATCCCTGCCTTGGTTACCTGGAAACAGGTGTACTTTTACTCATGCATATTTCAGAGGGGCTCTTTCTTTTCCACAGCAAGGTCTATTGTCACATGGAGACGCTAGACTGCCTCCTGTAACCTCTGGGCAAACACACAAACCATGTTCAGCAGGCGCAGGCTTTACACTAAATGGGAAACTTAAATGAAGTATTAATTCTGAACCATAGCCTCCATTTCTCATAATGCAAATAGCACATATAATATATTCAGTGTAACCTCTGTCCTATCAGCTGATCATACACTGCCTTATCATCGCTACCTGTCCACCCCCAGGCCTGTCCTCTGCTCTCAATGGCTGATCCATCCTGTCAGTCAAACAGCAGCCCAACTGGGGCCTTTTGAGACTGGTCACCACGGTAACCTGAGACAACTGGTAAGTGTGGTGGAGATAAAGAGGGATGTATAAAGCTTTGATGACTGATCAAGTTTCACCAGCGAACAAAAACAGAACAAATTACTGCCTACAAAGTGGAATTTCATGCTGTGATCCAATTGGTTGAAAATGTCAAACTTCCTAAAAGCCTTATTTTATACTTTTAAAGTGCTCCATCTTTGAATCCGGCTCCAATTCTGATTTGTGGTCCATTGTTACAAAGGTATTTTGCATATGCATTGATGATAACTTTAATTATACACTACAGAAACCCAATCTGACCTATAGCTCTTGTGTTTCCAGATTTGATTACCATACGCAGAGTAGCCACTATAAGATCAACCATCTCCAAGCAGGATGTGAATTATGAATGGACTGTACGGGTGACATGTCTCCACACACAGACACATGCACGCAGGTATTTTGAGCAGCTGAGGGTTTGGTTGGAGGAGCTCACATTTCTCTGGCAAAGACACACCCAGGTATTTACCAGTGGCAACATGCAAACAATGTGTTTACTGGAGATTACTGTATGGATCACCAGGCAGGTTGTGGGCCACTGGTGCTTTTAAATAGTCAATGCTTGTGGGGTGTTTTGTTGTTAATAGAAACAGTTTACAGTCAATCCTGTGTCATTAAAATAATCTAGCAAATCCACAATAATATCTCTTTATATTTTTTTTTACAGATTGTTATCAGTCTGGTTCTGATACGCTCAGTTGCAATTAGTTGTTTGTTTTTTTTTCACTGAAACTAAGGAGGTCACCTATCATCTCCAAATAAAATCAGGTTCCTTTCACCTCAGTTTAACAGTTTAATTCAGTTTGAATTTAGGGCTTTGCTCACTGATTATGCTTACATATTTTTACCATCATTTTTTCTGTTCCTGATTGGCTAATTTACCTGTCAATCACGCCCATCTGACAACAGGGAGTCCAGGATTTCTGTCAAATGGTTCTGAAAGTCTGTGTGCTTTGCATTCAAAAAATGGATATTGAAAGCATTTTTTTTTTTTTTCAAAAAGTAAAAGTAACATGGAATCAAAAATCTGGATTGATTAATATGACAAAAAAGTTGATGTTCCGTTGTATGGCATTAAACTTACCTATCTCCATGGGGACAAGCAGATGGCACAAATAAGCCAAGTTACTGTGAGCCCCCAGAGTAAAAAGTTATGCATGTTTGTGACAATTTTCTCTCTTCTTCTTCTTCTTTTTTTTTTTTTTTTTTTTTTTTTTTTTTTTGAGCAATAAAAACATCTGCTCTGAATAAAGGCTGGAACATTTCAAACAAAACAATATCATCTTCCTGCAATGAAGCGACTGTCTGACACTCTGCTAGAGAATTTACATAGTGAACCCTTAGTTCAAACCTTAAAATGATTCAGCTTCCAAAATATAACAGATTTTACACTTATGTTTAATACGTTTATAGGTTTATAAGTTAACTTTTTTACCTGTGATTCCCAGCCCAGTGAGTTGTTATCATGTTGTCAGCCACATTTATGGCTCATTCATTCACGCTATAAAGTTGTGACATACTTAGCTGGCATCAAACCACAGCAGCTCATGGCCCAGCACAGCAGTAAACAATAATTAGATCTATATTTGCACTTTTCACTTGTCAGCACATATTTGACACTGTAGGCTATATTATGCATGCATTCTAATACATCACATGTTGTGTATTATCTTTTACAATGATAACATCAATTCCATGCTTATCTGTAGTTTACTTTTTTGATAAATTGTTTTTCTTTGACAGGATTCCAGATGTTTCTACTTTTCGATCTTTTGAGACACATGCTACTTAAATCAAACAACAAAATATGAACACATGAATGAATTAATTACCCACACATTGTAGCTGATGCAATTGGAAAAGGAATAGAAGTGACCACCAGAGGGCGCCCGACTGCTTTACAAGGAAAGACAAGTCTTTAGAGGTGCCCTGGTTAATTATTGGTTAAAGCACCTTTTATAATAAAGAGACATACACTACACATACTTTTTTTTTTTTTTGTATTATTTTTGTTTAATGTCAGCAAAAATAAAAATAAACTATTATTATTATTATTTTTTACATTTATTAATATTTAAAACGCTATATATCTTTTCTTTGTCTTGATTGCATGCATCCCTTTCTCCACTTGTGAGAATATCATTATCATTTATAATGTCTATTCACTGGATAGTCTTCCTTCTATTGCCTATTCATCAGGATTAGAGACTGCGACAAAGAACCACATTGTCTGTTAAACTCCTTCTGATCATAGATAAAAACAAGTACCAAGTAGTGGCCCAAGACATTACTCAAGTAAAAGTAGAAAAGTAGAGTAACTGAAGACTTACAGGACACAAAAAATTGTATGATATGAAGGAGCTGTCCAAGAATCAAAAATGTTCAAATCATTTGATATTGTCAACACAAAGCTTTTGTCACAAGTATTCAAGTAAGAGCACTGTTACTTCAATAAAAGTAGAAAAGTGACTCAAGTATAAATGTAACTAAGTAAATGTAACTGCAGTACCACCTCCTCTGATGCTTACATCTGCTATTATAATATTCTTAAGCTCTGATGTTGTAGACCTAGTGTGCATAGAAGTACTCTAACATATATTGCAATCTGTTTGACCCAGCTTTAAGGTCACGACTACTCACTTCTGACTATCCCCATTTTTGGAAAGGCGTTGATGTCCTGATGTGCCCTTCTTGACCACTAGGAGGAGACACTAGAGTAATTTATCGCGGTGGGACATAATGTACAGGACATAGCGTACAAGTTCCTAGAGTGTGTTTAGGTTACACTTGTGTTGAGTTACTGTTTACCGTGCAAAGTCACCTTCTGAGACAGCTGCTTATCGTCAACATTAAAGCTTATATTCTGTACCGAGACAATGGAGAAAAATATGTGTGATGAATAAAGTGTATCTAATTGTGTGATTTTCTGGTGAAGAATCTGTCAAATGCTTTTTTCCATGAAGATGTTATTGCTTTGTCTCGAATGTTTCACAGTACGGTATTAAATCTTTCTATCTTCATGGAGATCAAACCAGACTAAGTTACAGGTCAGATCCGTGGAGAGGCAACCCCACTCGCAGTCAGAATGCATGTTTTTGTAGGTATTTTTCAGCTATAAAACCACATGTAATTGAAAAAAAATGTTAGTTAGAAACTGTTTAATAGAAGAAACAAGCAGATGATGAACCCTCAAGCTAAAAGTTACACAGTGCACTTTAAGTTATTGGCCAGTAAAAGAAATCCTAGCAACAAAGGGCCTTCATGGTATTATAGGAGCACTATGAAGTGGAGCAAATGCCCTTTTGTGGATCTTAATTCGCTCAGTGGGGGGTGTACTGTGGGGGGCGTACTCAGGGAGACATGAATTTGACCCAAGAAAAGTTCACACAGGGAGAAAATGAGACACAGAATTATTTTATTAGCTTGAAATCTAAACATGGTAAGAAAAGGTTTTAGGGTTTTCTCTTTTAAGGTGAATTATTTAACCTTTTTGATGGGGTTTGATCGCCTTCTTTTTTCTATGGATATGTCATTGCTCGGCCTGGAATGTTCCACAGTGTGACATTAAACAAATTACATGTAGTTTTACAGCTCAAAAATACCTAGAAATACAAATATTCTGACTGTGAGTGTGGTTGCCTTTCCACTGATCTGTAACTTGGTCTGGATTGGTCTCCATGAAGATAAAAAGGTTTAATACCACACTGTGAAACATTCCAGACAGAGCAATAGCGTCTCCATGGAGAAAAGAATCTGATGGACCCTCTACTCGAAAAGTCACACAATGCATCTTTAAAAATACATTCTGTGAAGTACTAGGTATAGGCTACTTAAGGTGGCACTACTAGGACTAACTATAGGTATACCTACAAGTACCACAAAGTACTACTATATTACTCTAAGTCAGGGGTTCTCAATCTCTTATCAGTATCAAAATAAGCCAAGAACCACCACAATGTCATTACAATAAAATTCACTTTGTGTTTATAACCAAATTGGGTGAAAAATAAGTTCCCATAGTATTTAATGTATTGGTATTGTTCTCATTAAGAGGAACTGGTTTTAAAATCCACATTAAACTAAAATTTGCTGTTAAAAACACATAAATGAACAAATCTATAGACCAATATATCTTGTACGGAGTGAAAGTTGTCCTCAGATCCACTCACTCAGGGCAAATGTGGTCCACCTGTTCTTGGATTCTTTTATTGTGATTCAGCGTGTCCTAACCTGCTCTCAGGCATCCTACTCTGTGTATATGTTCTTATGTTATATGAATACAAGTATACAC